TTGATCATGTCAACATATGGTGACGACATGTTCTTTTGGCTTTATCTATCTTCGCCATTCTTGTACATTGTAGCCATAAGTGTTAGTTTTAACTTGAAATCAGTCCGAGCTCCCCATCGCTGAAGTTGACGCAGAAATCCTGCAAATACGAAATCTAAAGATGAACGTCACTTTCGAGATAAGGCGTCGCGAGTTCTCCGGTGCAAGTTTATAGCCTTCTAGCAAAACTCTCATAATTTTTGTTTAAAACATCATTCAGAGCTGGAGACGTCTTATTCTGACCAAAAATGCTTGCTCTACATCCGGGCATTAGTGGAACTCTTTATGAAGTTGGTTTTTATCAGAAAAGTGCAAGATTTGGAGAGTTAGTTTTTCAAGGCTTCCAGAAAACGCTTTTGATACCTCCTCGCTGAAGACCAAATAAGTATGGATTCTAATAGTTGGCACAATGGGCCATCCGATGGTGTGCTTAGCTCAATATGGACTGGTGGTAACGTGCCTAAACATAGGGAACATATGTCCAGAGTATGCCGAAAAAACTGTAGGGGGATGAAAAGTATTTACCTACAACTTTACTCAAACCACGTCTGTTCAATCCTACCAAAGCTCCTCCTAACACTAACATCATATTCACGTCCGTCATTTGTGAATTTTTGGTTTGTGATGCCATAATTCTACCACCATTAGTAAAACGTATAACATTTTCACAGTTGGAACAAATAAAATTGATAAAATATACTAGGCCCAGACGTTTTGTTATATGAAAACAATATGAATCAGTTTTATCACATTTTGGACATTTGAACTGATTGATTGTTTCTAAGAAATTTCTAATACTGGTAATAATATTGATATTTGCGAACTCAAAAAGTTCTGTATCATAATCATCTTCCTCATCAGAACTTCTTTGTCGTTGTTTTTCATCGTCAGTGGAGTCAAAACTTTCCTCCGAATTGGATTCATCCTTATATGATTGTTCAAAACGACTTATTGATGATTCGAACTTTTTTTGTGATGCTGATTTATTGAGGGGTGGTAATGGTGACCTTGATTTACTTACGACTTCGCTTTGTGACAAGGAGAAACTAGGCAGTTGTTTTTTGCGACGTCTAGACCGACTGAAAATAAAATTGTTTTCTTTCAGTTATCCACGACCAGATACTGAACTTTATGAGCGTCAGATGGAGGCATTAGAAAGATTATTGCTGGAAGATTTTGAAAGATATGGACACAAAGTACCGAATAACTTGATTGATTTATTATTCAAATCTGATCCAGTCATACCGAAGTCCACAAAAGAGACTTTTGTGGACTCTTCAAGTCCACAAAAGCTCAGCGGAAAATTCTACCAGGTGTCTCATTTTGAAGAGCAGACTTTCTTCTATCAGTCTATGGGTCAGAAAAATTTACGAACCTAAAACATTAAGGTTTCTGAAGCGTCGAAGGAAAAATTTAAAAACTTCATAACTTTTCAAGGAAGATCATAGAGAGTGGAGAGTGGTCTCATTTTATCGCTCAGAGTTTGCTCTACATTAGGCTATGTTCAGCTCAAAATGAAAATTTTTGTACAAAATAGACGGGGGAGATGGGGGGGTACTTGAGTAAAGCAATATCTAAAGTCTATATGTGCTTTCAAATACTTTTAGAACGGAGATGTCTTACACTAGGACCATTATAAAGTTAAAGAGTGTCTTTTTTTATCACTTATGATCAATTTTTAGATTAATATTTATTACATATCATAATACAACACATATATGCCAACTATAGCAGTAATTGCATTAATTATTTATCATCCGATATCTGGGCACCAACTAACTTTACAACAGCAAGAATGTTTTCACATAAGGGCTCTCAATGAGTTAGTTGTTAGTGCCAATATATTTGTCTCAATGTTGTCCCCAAAAACAGAGCAATCGTCTTCCCAAAACAGAACAATCCTGTTCTTTTATCGGGAATATTCCCTTGATAAAGGAGCAATTGTGTTCTATTTTGCGAATTCTTTTCCCACAGACAAACCTTCTTGTTCTGCTTGTGGGACCAGAGATTTCTGGACCAGTTCAGTTCAGCAAAGTTTTCTTAAGCCCACGGCACTCCACGAAGTGGCGGAGTGCGCTTTTCTCCTTTAGTAACGTGCCTTCTTTTATGTTTAAAACACTTAACCTTTAATTTTCAGAATCATATATACATATACATATGTTTATATGATAGACCGGGGACAGCACCAAAAAGCCCCTTAAATGGCTTTTTCGATGGTTAATAATACAAACATATGTATATTATATAGCAAAAAACCCATTAAAATTGCTTTTTTCTCAACAAAGCCCGTTAGCTTAAATTCATTCTTTTAACGTGTTTGTCTGTACAAAAAAGCGAAACAGAAAGACTAGTAACACTTAAGGCAAGAAAAATATTCAAAAAATTATTTAGAACGCAGGAATGATTGTCATATACAAGATACACAGTTATTTATTTATTTTTGTTTTGTTTTTCTATTTCAGAATATGAGGTCGCAGAATGGATGGCAAAGGGCAAAAAGCCTGAAAATCAAAAGAAAAGTATATATCGTGATATATTAACTTGATTTTTATATTATTTTATTCTATAATTCATTATCAAATATAAATAAAGTCACATTTGATATTATTAATAATAAAACATTCATTGAACAAACTTCTAAAGTTAATCGTTTTGATAATAACGTCAAGAATGTACCCTCGTC